ATGTACATATTTTTCCTTCACTGTCATATTTTTCTAGAAGTAGCATGGCTAAGTTTTCCCTCACCTGCAGAATTCATAACTTTATTATTCAGTTAAACAGTATTAAATATTATTATGATAATAGGGGATATTTTAAAAGATGTTACTTTCAGTGTTCACATCACAGTTTTCTTAAATTATATTAATGACCTCTTCTTCCATTCTAATGATTTTTTAATTTGTGTATCTCACTATAGCTTAAGATAAAAATTAACATTTCAATACTTGCACACTGGAGAAAAAGTAAGTCTACTTTCCTGCATAAACATAATAAGGAAACATGGATCTAAGTAGATTTCTTTAAGATAAGTTACTCAGGAACAGCATAGATAGTTCTCACTTAAAGATGGTTGATTAACGACCGTTTGAAGTTCTAACAGTCTTCAGAAAAGCTACTTATAACCCATCCTTGAAGTTTTGACTGTTGCATACCACCATCACCACTGTTGTGGCCTCATGATTGCATTTTGGGCATTTTGTCAACCAGTTCACAGTTGCTGACTGTAAATCGCTTGGAGAGGGCTGTAAAGCTCTGTGAAGCAGTATATAAGTCTAAGCACTATTGCTATTTACAAGCGGTTGCCTCGTTCTGTGGTCACATGACCATTATTTGCTATGTTTTTGCCATTTCCCATTTACAGTATGTAATGAGAAATATCTTCTCAAATCATCTCTAGTGACATGTTTCTGTCGAAAATATATTGCCAGATGCCTGCAAAGTTGGCTTGCATCTGCCAGCCATTGATTGTTTGTGGTGTCAAAAAAAAATCACAGTGTTTTTCTAAATTTTCAAATTTATAGAAAGGTTGAAAACATGAATGGTAACCACCTATTTTTGTGCTGAAATGTGACAGCTAAGAACTAGGAGTCTCTTCCATAGCTTAGAAGCTAAAACTGTAATTTAATTTATTCCATACTATAAAGCAGGGGAATCAAACTGGCGGCCTGTGGGCCAGATGCACCACACACAGGCCGCACCCACCCCAGCTCCGCAAATGCAAAACATGTCATGATACGTCACAATACATCACATGATGTGATCGAGTTTGACACCTGTGCTATAGAGTGATGAACTCTTATCACTTGTAAGCTGGTGAGAGGTGTTGTGGATGCTTGATGTTTCAGGGCAGCAGTATTAAAAACACAGTATTATATAAAACTGCCCTTAAACCCTATTATGTTATTGACCTATATAGATTAAGTTACTTTCTGCTAATAGTAGCTAAGATTTTTTTGCTAGGCCTTTGCAGGGAAATGCCAGAGAGGAATCTGGGATCTTTTTATAGGGAAAACATAAATGTCCTTATAAAGCCATGTGTCTCCCCCCTCATACATTGTTTGTTTTGCATATTACATTATTTTTTTCCTTCCATTCAGTTATATCCGATTCTCAGAGATTGCTTGGACCTCAGAGTCCTAGTGGACAATCACCTAAATATGAGCCAGCAGTGTGCTGCAGCTGCCAAAAAGGCCAACACAATGCTAAGCTGCATTAATAGAGGGATAGAATCAAGATCACATGAAGTGTTAATACCACTTTACAATGCCTTGGTAAGGCCACACTTGGAATACTGCATCCAGTTTTGGTCATCGCGATGTAAAAAAGATGTTGAGACTCTAGAAAGAGTACAGAGAAGAGCAACAAAGATGATTAGGGGATTGGAGGCTAAAGCATATAAGGAACGGCTGCTGGAATTGGGTATGTCTAGTTTAACGAAGAGAAGGACGAGGGGGGACATGATAGCAGTGTTCCAATATCTCAGGGGCTGCCACAAAGAAGAGGGAGTCAAGCTATTTTCCAAAGCGCCTGAAGGCAGGACAAGAAGCAACGGGTGGAAACTAATCAAGGAGAGAAGCAACCTAGAACTAAGGAGAAACTTCCTGAC